CAGTTGAGCAAAAGCCACCGACCACAGCCTGGAGCAGCACGGCTCCTCTCGGCCGTGGGCCCACCCAGGGTAGGGCGCACAGCAGAAACAAAGCAGGCCCATGCTGGCAAACGGATAACCCAGATTGGAGCATCCTCTCCTTTGCTGATATCAAGCACGGGCACGCAGGAACCCTGCAGGGAGAGGAGCAGCTCAGGAAACGGCACTGCCGCTTAGTCAGCGGAAGGCCCCCGTTGCATGGAGATCGGCTCCTCAAAGGCTCCAGCTGCCATCTCCCTGAAAGCAACTCCCCGCCGCCTGGCATGTGTGCAGGTATTTCACAGGTCCCATCACTTCCAGTTTACCAGGAGGGAAAGGAGGGAAGGAACTCAGGAAAAACAGAAGAGCCCAGCTGTTTGCCAGGTGAAACGGGCAAAGCCAAAGCTGGCCAAGCCCCATCTGCAGACCCAAGGATGAGGGACAACGCAGTCACCAACAAACCTAAAAAAGCCATGATTCAAGAGGAGAGTCCCAAGCAACAATACATCTGGGTGCAAAAGAGAGGGAGAAAATGATAGAAAAGGCACTTCCCCACTCTGCAGTTACTCATTTTGGTTTGTGCCTCGTGGTACCCACCGGCGGGTGGCACAGCACCGCAGCCCAGACAGACAAGCATCCCAGACGCCATTCCGTGTTTCGCTGGCTGTGCTGGCTGCTGGGCGCTGACATACTTAATGCTTGAGATCCATGTTCCTCAACTGGTGGATCCTGGGAAAAAGCACCAAAGGTAACCCTCAGCCATTAAAAAGAAAAGCAGAAAAACCTCACGTACAGTCGCACCCTCCCCTTAATGCTTTACACAGTCAGAACAAAAACGCTAGCAATGCAGTCATTTCCTGAAATCAGAAAATGCCGCTCTGAGGCCAGCGGGTAGGGCAATTGATGCCTGCACAGGGACAAAGGCAGTACTTTAAAACTCCTGACATCTCCTTTCCCCGCTATTTTGGTCAAGACCCATGGTGTTGTACTACTGCTGCCTGATTTAATGAACTGCCACTCGTGTTCACCAGCACGGAAATGGTCACACAGAACACAGCCAAGTAGAAACCCACTAACATCCACATCCTGATGTTAATTTTAGCCCTGCTCAGCAGTAAACTCTATTTAGATAAATTTCCCATGATAGTGAGATGAGACTGAACTGGCTGTATCCAGCAGGATCACCACGGCTTGCTGTAAATCCCAGTAGCGTACTTAGCAGTATTATCTGCTGCTTTAAACACCAGAGTATGAGCTCTGGCACTGCCTGATGCATGCAGGGATGCTCGTGAGCCCTGGTGTCAGCAGACTGTACCCCCGGCACAGCCTGCACGCGCTCATTAGAAGCCACGGATGGTATGTTTTCTTTGGCATCCTCCCTCTTTGCTCGCTGCATGAAAGAGCAAGGCTTCCTTGGAAACTCTTGCTGTCATCCCCTTAATTCTGCAGTCTAGGAAATCTCCCATTTTTCCAGACTTCAAAGACCCCAAACAATTTCCCTTTTGCTGTTCCAAGGGGGATTGCTTTGCACGTGCCACGTAATTGCAAAAATGCCTGCCATAAAAATTAACTCCAAATTTGGTATTTTTGAAGGGACAGAAGGGTATGGTGAAGTCAAGTCTTACACATGCAATCCCAAGTGAAAGCACTCCTGTGCTCCCCGAGAGCCGTGCAGTCCAGGTGGTGACCACATCACGTGCCCTCTCTGAAGGCTGACCCCAAAGTGACCACAGCGCATTTTGCCAGTTTTCATAGAATCATAGAATCACTTTGGTTGGAAAAGACCTTTGAGATCATCGAGTCCAACCTTTAACCCAACCCTGCCATCCCACCACTAAACCATGTCCCTAAGCACCTCATCTATCCTTCTTTTTGCATTCTGGATGCTGCTTCCCATGCCCTCTCCATCAGCTCAGAAGCAACTACCAACACAGGCTTGCTTTCCCCTTGCCCTCCTCCCCACAG